ACTATGAAGATAGATATACAGGATTTATTAATTCTGGAGTATTCCCTTTCTTTGCATTAATCCTGTATGATTCGTTCTCTGAAGCAAATCTTAAGCTAACTCCTAACAATTAAAAACGAGAACAAGAAACAGTCGAGTGAAAATGGCATTATATTATTTGTGATTTTCTTTTATTCATATTTAATAATAGCATAAAGATTTTGAAGAAATCTAATAAGTCTGTAACTTTTTTGTGAAATTGTGAATAAAGAATGATCATAATGCATAGTGCAAGTCAAAGGAATGAATTTATTGTAGTATCATAGAAAAGAGCACTTAAATGTGAAACATTAGTTACGCTATAATTCGTTTTTAATTTTATTCCATTTGTAATTTATGCTTGAAGAAATCTTGAAGGCGAAAAAAATTTTTTTTTTCTTCTTTCTTTTCAGCTTTATTAGTGAAATTTATTTTTAAAAAGTTCGTTAACGTTGAATTTTGTGTCCTTTTTTTTAAAAATTTGGCTATTTTATAATTGATATAAACTAAGAAAAAATATTCAAAAATTATCAAAAAGCAAGACTCAATTTTGGGAGTTAAAATTAAATTTGATATTAGATAATGATTTTCTCCAATGTCGAAATAATTTATTCTATTATTGAAACAAAACTCAATAAGTGCATAAATTGAATACAACTGCAATTAATAAAACCGATTCTTGTCAATTTATTATTATTTATTTTCAATACTTACGACAATACTACAAGTTTATAAAGACATGCAGTGTGTCGGTTTGTACACTTATTAAAATTGTTACTACTATTCTTTTTACTAAAATTTTAAAATTATTTATTGCACAGTCTCTTTTTTTTAGTAGAAAAATATTTACTTTGGTGTGTGTGTAATGTTAAATATGAAAATTTTAGGAAAATAGTCTCCTATTCTTAAAAACATCGATATTTTCTGAGACTTTTCGTATTTGCAAGTAAAACTAAAAGTTTTCATTAAAGAAAGCATTAGTTTTTAATTTTTATTGGACATGCAAATAGTATAGATCTGATTTGTTTATTTCAAACTTCCTAATTTTAGATTGAAAATTTTTCTGCTTTCTCGTAAAGAAGGGAGAAAACTAGCATTAATTTATAATGGTTAATCTTGAAAATTTTTTCCGTGATTTTTCGAATTTCGAGGTTTTTTATAATACGATTTAAAATAACTTATTCAGTTTTATCATATTTAAATACTTTTTAAAACAGTACAAGTCAAGATTTTTTGCATTCTTTTCTACAATTGTTTCAACAAAATTGCAATCTAAGTTTAAATGCCAATACTAAAACCAAAGCTTACTAATTTGTAACATGCTTATTATTACATACAATAACTCGTGTGTATTTCTTTTGTACTGTTGCTTATTCTTTAATTACTTTTTCATTGTATTTTTGGACATCATTATTTTTTGGTACTATTGTTTCTTTCATTGCCATTATTCGAAAGATACTGTGACTATTATTTCTTTTAAAATAATTAGGATTTTTTTTGTATTTCTTGGAAATATATTTTATAATTTAAAAAAAACCAGAGATAATTATTCGAATGCATTTTATGTAATATGTTTTGAAATTGAGAAACTTTACATGCTACATCTTTGTATATATATTCTTTTACTGTGATTTTATTTGATCTATAATGTTATAATGTCAATTACAAAAATCCTTTTTTCTGAAAAACTTTTATGCAATATAAAAGTTCCATTTTTTAGGAACGTATTTATTTATTTTTGAACAGAAATCCTCCGAACAACGGCCTAAGTGGATGTTGTTCAGAAATTTGACTGCGTATATGTTGTTATAAATTTACATGTATCAATATATATTATAGAAACACGTAATGGTATTTATATAATAGCTAAATGAATAAAAATTATTCCTTTCAGATAAAAAAAATTAATTTACATTAATTATAACAAGTAACGCGCTTGAAGCTACTACAAGAAAGTTTGTTAGAAAATAGGAAACTCTGAAAAAACATAAATCTAATTAAATTTAATTTGCAAGCAAGATAAATTAACAAACAAATCATCATCATAAAATACTTATAGCAATTAATTTAAAATCGAGAGCCTGATTAAAATAATAAAATTTAATTTTCATTTATAGAAGAGAATCGGATACAGTAGTTATATAGATTTACTCTTATTTGATTCAGGATGCAAGCTTATTATCCCACATAGGACATGTTTATGACTCAGAAGCAATTAATCATCGAGAATAAGACAACCAGGCTGAGATGCGTAAAATTTTATTTCGCAAGCCAGTCACGAAACTTGCCTTCCTCTAAACGGAATCTAGACTTAGGGAAGAGCAGAGAAAGTGGTCCATAAAGTAGGAGTTCGTGATATTCGGTCGTAGAGAGACCAACGCTGTATCGATGTCTCATTAGTCACGACCGACCACTCTGTGCGTCGTTATTCTAGAGCAGGCGATATCCTAATTACAAATAGAGTTTTACGGTGAAGTGGCCTTCGGTAACTAATGACGTCGTTACACTGTCGAATGACTCACTTGCCATGTCATTGGTCACAGTAACACACAGATATGGATGAAAAACTGATTACTTAAATTTTTGAAATTCTATTGATGATTTTGAATATGATCTTATAAAACAAATTCTTAAAATTAGGTAATTTGCAAGAATTATTTATATTTAATTTCTTTTTGTTATATACGATTCTTTAGATGAATGTTTTTCTAGTCTATTTATATTCTGTACATATCACATAATTTCGGGATAGAATCGTATTAAAGACGAGATTTAATTTTAGGATCCACGCCTAAAATAACGTTGCATTAATTAATATTTTAGTGATTTATATAAATATTTTAACTTTTTAAAATATTTTCAGGACAATATAAAAATACTGTAAGTGGTTAAAACACTCAAATTTTCCATATTAAAATTAATCTCGTTATAGGCAAAGCATATGTTTCATTTTATAAACAGGAAGGGATATAGAGAACTCTTCCTGAATTCCAAAGTTTCCTATTACTATTCAAAACAAGAATTCTAGCAAATAAGCATTCTAGCAACGATTTAAACCTTTAAAGTTATCCGTCATCGAGATGAATCCCATTCAGAGAGGACAAAGAGTGCACTAGCGATCAAGAAGCAATATACGCACGTGTGCAGAAAGTCAGGCAGACGTGCATTCATTAAAGGGTACGACAGAGGTTAATGAGTGAGGTTGGTAGGGAAAAAGGGGAGAATCATTTACGCCTTCCTAGTTACCAAATGAAATCATGCACAGCAGAACGGACACGATTTAAATCTTGTCACAGATGCTTTTCGGATGAGCCTTTCATCTTTTCAATACTAGTTTTTTTCTACAATGTTTTCTATTTATTCAGCTTCTTCCAGTCATTCAAAAGAACTAAAGTTTTAAATTATTACTTTAAATAGTGATCGAACTTCTGGGATTTTTCTGGAACAAGACAGGAGCGAATTTTTTTCATTTTCGTTTACGCTTTCCTCTGGTGAAAAGTTATATTAATATCTTTAATAAAAGGGGGAGAACTCGGCTACAGTTTAATGACATAGTAGTATATAAGCCCACTAGTGTCGGTTATCTTTCTGTATCACTCAGAAATGTCCATTTCCGCCAGGCATCTGCATGGGATGGAAGACGAGCACAATTACGACAGAACACCATTAACGATATAATCGAGCGCATATCCGTTCATTTTCATGTGAGCCAGCAGACCCCCGATGAATATGACATCATTCTACCTTCAATGACCGGATTGTCCCTACCCCAAAGTACAGCAATTCGCAATGTTTAATACGAGTAATAATATAGAATAAACACTTTTATCTTTTCCTGTCCCAGTTTTCCTCCGCCGCCCAGAGACATTTTACTGCGCTCTAGCGGAGACTGGTGACACTAACCCTGCCGGTTGTAAACAGAATGGATATTTTACTAGCGATAAAGCTGAACAGACGTGGCATTGGCACATCTGCCACGTTTTCTGATGGCCGATCGTCATTATTACGTCACCGGCGGGGGAGTTTTTGGTTTATGAATGTTTTGGCATTAAACCGTTCCCCGACATCAAAGCTACGTAAATAAACCATCCGGCGACCGAAGTAAGGGTCATTTAAATAGTCAGCCTGGATTTATGAGTAATAAGCGTAAGTTTCAATCTCATAGTTGGAGAAGCAGACGCCTTTCTCGACAATAAACTGTGGTTTACAATTATTAAACATGCAGGGCAATAAATACTATGTCCGTCGGGCTTGCGGTCATTCTTGGTCAACATTACCCAAAATTACGACTAAGGGGCATAAAATCATCCTCGTAGAAAGCATTTTCCTGTTTTTTTTATTACAATTTAAAAAATATATATACATAAAAAAGTTAATCTGTAATAATTTCCTTAGAATGTCAATTCGGTCTTTTTCCCTCGAAAATTAAAATATTATCATTAATTAGTAATTAAGAATTTCGTGTGGAAAAACTTTCTTACACAGGAAAATATAATTTCGCACTGGAATAATTTGATTAAAGAGGCAGAGAAGCGTTGCTTACACGCTTGGGCTGTTCCTCTTAATCGCAGATTGGAAGAATGCGATGTAAGCATTTTGCCTGAAGAGGAAGACGTTAACATTTTTCAAAAAATAAGTGAATTGTTCCAACGAGACTTTAATTTTCAACAAATATTTCAATTAAACCTTTTAGCTTTCATAATAAGCGTTCAATTCATAATTAATAAAATTTGAAACTTAGATAATTAGTTGGACTCGATACTTCTCTAATATTACCAGGTTAGATTTTTTTCTTCTCAAATAAATTTTTGAATGATTTTATATTATTTTTTGTTGAATATCTCTATTCATTGCATTTTATCAAGATCTATATAAATTTATATATAAGATTGTCATTTTTGTAAATTTATTAATCAGTATAATTATTAATGAATCATAAATTTAATTAGAAATTTAAAATGTATATTTTTTGCTGTTTTCAGGCTGTAATAAGAAAAATGCGAGTAACGTGTAAATGCCACGGAGTTTCTGGATCCTGTTCTTTAATTACCTGTTGGCAGCAATTGGCGTCTTTCAGAGAAGTGGGCGACCACTTGAAGGATAAGTACGATGGTGCTACAGAAGTGAAAATCAATCGAAGAGGGAAACTTCAGATTCGAAATCCTCGTTTCAATCTCCCCACGGCAGAAGATTTAGTGTACATGGACGAATCACCGGATTATTGTATTACTAACTTGACTACCGGTTCACACGGCACTCACGGTCGACTGTGCAATCGTACCTCACCGGCTACTGATGGATGTAACTTAATGTGTTGCGGACGCGGATATAATACTCATAAAGTTAGCCTGAAAGAAAGATGCAAGTGCAAATTCCATTGGTGCTGTTATGTGGAGTGCAAAACATGTGTTTATTCACTCGATACTCACACGTGTAAATAAATTGAAGGAAGGATGGTTTATAACCTACTTTCCTTTCCCGCAAATGAACTTAGGAGACTCTGATTGGTCGAAAACGATAAACGACCTCACCGTATTGAGCCTTCTTCCAGTTCCAAAGTCGGCAGATATCTGGGTTACTGCGTCAAAAGTGCCAAATGTAGATCTGTGGACCGATCGACGATGTGCATGCATGCAGTTGGATGGAGAAGGAACAGTATTTAAATTAGCTTGTAATTTTTGTACACAGCCGGGCATTGTTCCCTTCTTTTTCTGTACATGGTGATATATATTAGATTTTAAAAAATAGAGGTCTGATTTTTTTTTCTCAACTCCTATAGGGAGATTTTTGTTAGGTGATAGAAACACTATTAGGATGGGGACAACTGTAAATGGCTTCAATCGCAACGAATCCCAGATTTAATAATAAATTTTTCACAATTTTGAAGTTTATTTTAATGTATCTATACACTTTTATCCTTCAATTTGGCGAGAAAAATCGAGGATTTGGATCTGCAATAGTCTTCGAATGAAACAAACGACATATACATATGAAGTTGTCGCCTCTCGTAATTCGATACGAGCTTTCACTTGACGCTAAACAATGATCACGTTTAAACGTATGATCATACTCAATACTCGAAGAAAGAAAAATCATCATTAAACAGTTGCTCAGTACAATCGAATGCTTGAGAACTCTGGTCTTCTATCGAGAGTAAAATCTTTGCTTCCAGAGGGAAAACAACGAAACTGTATAGAATTATTCGAAATTTAAACATTTATAAACAGACAATTACCAGGTGCAGACCTCTTCCTCCGAGTCCATCCTTCTAGAAGTCATTTTTGTATCACGTGAAATTCGTCATCGCTATTATTTATTTCTATGTATTATCACAATGTTTGAAATCAATTTAGCGATCAACCAACGACTAAGGACAAAGCCGCTTTTATCCAAACTCTGATATTGTATAGGCTACGGTAGAGGTCCTTTGTTTGTCGTGTCTCATTTTGGGTTACAGAATAAATAAATATTTACATTCTATGACATGTCTATTATCATTTGTAGTCCTGAGACCACATGCTGTCAACCAACAATTCAAACAAAATTATGAATAACCTTCTCAAACATATTATAAAAGAAATTCTATAATTCAATGATTGCTCTTACTAGTTTATAGAAATTTAGATATGTAAATGAAATACAGTTTTATGTTGCATATTACGTTTTTCATTCTATTCATAAGTATTGTATATTAAACTGATAAGAGAAAAATCCACAATAAGAATAATGAATATTTCCAGTTTGGAATATTAAAATACGCTTTTAGGTTTGAATTCAGTGTGTTATTTATTTAATACATTCAATTTAATTTTCAGTACCATTCGAAGTAAAACGTTAGTATACGTTATAATTCATTCACAGACAAGGTTTTAATATATATTCTACACGAAATTCAGTTTTTTTTTTTTTTTAAATAGAACTTTTAATTATCTTTATTTCATTCTATTATACATTACAACAGCGGATATATACGAAACACGAAGACAAAGAAAGAACTGGATTGTTAAATCAAATTTTAATTAAGTTCAAATTAAATAAGTCGATTGTTTTGTTAAAGATGTTGCGTGAAACTAAGTGAAAATCTAATGTAACATGAGATTTATAAACAGCAACTATTAGTCAGCAGCTCTGGTGATCTTCAGTTAATGTTAATGTACGAACAAGATCTCAAAGTTACGTGATAAAGAGGGATCATTAGCGATATAAAAGGGTTTTAACGTTATATCGAACTCAAATTTAGAATTCGCTAGATTTTTTTTTCTTCAATTACAATAATTTAGACAACGTTTCACATCAGTTGTAAATGATATAGATCTAAGAATGATTTTCCCCCATCAATAAGTTAATAGTGATTATGCTTATATAAATAAAAAGCTAATTCGAGCGTTATCTTTGCCAATCTATGAATTAAATTAAGCTATAATAAATGATGATCAATCTGAAATACTTCAAATCTCGATATCACTCAATCACTTTTCTAGGCGCATTGTCTGCTATGTCAAAGTGGGTAACGCGAATACCTTTATCACATGCAAAAATTTAATAAGGTAATTAAAAATAATTGCTCAAATGGCAGGCAAATGACAAGTTCCGTAATGATGAATAATCTAACATCGTTTATTAGCAATTTAGTTGTTTAGTTATTACTTACTTTATATAGAAGGCAGTCAATGTAAAAAAAATGAACTTTTTATGACACACACACACACAAAGCTATTAGTTTTAATAAAGTTTGCAATCAAAATCTTTGATTTTCACTGTTTCGATCGAACAATCCATAACATTTAACTGTAATTATTTTCTATAAGAAAGAACATTATTTTATTTAATTTAAGATTTTAATTAAACATGAGCGAAAAAGTTTAATAAATATATCAAATTATTAGTTAGTTAATGATGAAATATGCGTTATTTCTTTTTAATTTCTAAAACAAATTCATAAAATGTTAAAACTAGAATCGATACCGAGGAAAATTTCTTAAAAGACACCACCCCATCCTTATAAATCCAAATAGAATATCCGTATATGTAAAATCAATGCATGTTTGCTGTTCCCTATACACTTCTAAACCCTTTGACTAATCTGAATCATATTTTTCAATTACACTCTAGGACCCTGAAAAAATACAAGCTCTGACGAAACATGACATTCCTCTCCTACCCAAAAATATAATTCAGATCCGTCAAAGAATTTAGAAGTGTATATGAACAGACAGACAGACATTCTCTTTTACATAGTGTATATGGTTTTTTAAATACTTTCGACAATAATAAGCAAGATTTTTTGTTAATTGTTAGAATCCTTTCGTATGCTATCAATAAATAATAATAATAATAATTATTATATTTTAAAAATAAATTATGCAATTCAAGTACAAAAATATAAGTTTTATAGAAAAGATATGGANTGAAATTAATGAGAAAATTGCAAAAATTAATTCATAAATTGTGAGAATGAAAATTTATAAAGCTATAATAGTATTTAAATAAGGAAGTAATTTAGTCATTGTAATGGTTAACTGACTTTCGGACCACAATATAATCTATATAAAGTGATCCGAAAGTCAATTAACCATTGTAATGACTAAATTACTACCTTATTTAATACTCAGTTATAAAGATTAAAATTATTATTGATAAAATCAGATTATATCATTCAAAAACTATTAAAGTTTAGAAAATATAATTTGTGTGTAACTATTCGTGTGTATAACTAAATATAATTTGTGTGTCAAACGATTTGTGTGTAAATACACAGTACGGTGTGTGATATAAATTATTTATTTTGAGAAAAAAATCAATGATATAATAATTATTCATGATAAACTGTGTTGCAACAGAGACAGTTTGTTATACTCTTATGTTCGTTCATATGAAGGAAAAAGTATGGAATTAATTCTTGAATTATTATTATTAGTTATGGTGTCAGTGGTATTCAGAAATTTTTTGTTGTTGATTTAGGTATCATTTCACAGTATCTACTTTTTAGGCCGAGATGATTAAGGCGTCAGCCTACATCTTTGGAGGATCCGGGATCGAATCCGGGTGATCAACCCCAGTAATTTTTCGTGTGTGGTCTGTCTCGGATATGTTTGGCTCCTCACCACCCAGCGTTCCCATTGTGGGCCTGGCCGTACCCACAATGGATATGATATAAAAAGGCCTTCTTAGTGTCCACAGAGCGAGAAGAGTGTCAAAAATAATGGAAAAAAGTATCTACTTTTGAAAACCGAGAAACATTTTTCCCTGGTATTTAGCTGCGGAGAATAGAAATGATGTAATTAACTTAAAATTTATATGTTTTATTAACCAAAATCTTGGACATCTGTACTTCAGACCATTACAATTTTCACGCATAAATGGAAGAAACAACACTTTGAAAGATTCATACAATTCAGAATTACCAGTACGTTTAACAATTTCTATGGGAGTCAAAACAGATAGAAAACTTAATTTCTTACTTTATTAAATGGACAAGTCATGGTCGTGTTTATATCTTCGGATGAGTATCCAAATATCAATGGGTATGCAAATTTATTATAATTTAATCTAAGAAAGTAATGCAAAATTTGAAACATTGGTTAATGCCCTTGTATAATATACTATTTCATTTACATATTATTTTCGGGTTAGAACTTGAGACGCTAATTTTCTTCGTTCTCTTCCGTATGATGTTTGTTTCCTTTAGATATTTGCAAATCGAGCTTTTCTTATATTGAAGCTTTTAATTTTCACTTGATGCCGCTGCATATCAATGAATTATCCTCCTCTACGTTCAGTATGGAGGATATCTTTGCACTGTTTGTTCGTTTTCTGTCACGTTATTTTAAATATGCTTTTTCTCTGAAAGCTCAATAATATCTTGTATTTAATTTAATTGAAATATTTATTTTAATTTATGCACTCCTCCTCTATTTTTCTTTATGTTTCGTGTTTGAAATTAGGTTGTGAATTTATAATGAAACTTTTCCGTTTATCCTTCTATTTCGCTTCTCAATCTTATAGTTTGCGATTGTTTAAATTGATTCGCAAATTGTATGTTTTGAAATTAATTTGCAAATAATTGCGAAGCACTTCTGTAATTTGCAGCGCACAATTTCATTTAAGGAATTTTTCCGCTAAATTTATCAGACCACAACATTTAATAAATCTATTATTATATTATCATAGGAGTAATTAATAAATAGGAAAATTAACTAATTATTTATTTATTACTTATTATTTTATTTATAATGTTGGTTAATTCTCATAGAGAAAAACTAAAATTTTTAAGAGAAACTTTAACCTAAAATTCTACGAAAGTAAAATTATAAATCTATTAAAATTCAATGCAGATAAAATTCTTTTAAGTAAAATATCAAAAATTTTTTTTACTACAAATGCATTAAAATTTTATATAATTAGCAATTTTGTAAGCGTACATTTGAAATAAAAAATTCATTTCTAATTATAAGTTATATTGTTTGAACAAATTAAAACGATTAAATTTGCATAAAATTTTTGTGTTGAAACAACTTCGCATAAATGTTTTTAATTCATAATGTTTGTATTTGTTTAAACATTTAATAATGTAAGTAGTAGAAATTTCGACTTCAAAAAAACAATAGCTATTGTTCTGTCTAAGAAAGAAAGCTGTCAACAACTTCACAAGTTCAACAAAAGACTTTTTCATAACCTATTTCGTCATTTTTAATGATGATGATGGGAAAATATCCATTACTTAAAAATAAATTAGTAAATAATAACTATTTGCAAATTCGTAAAAAAAAAAAAAAAGTTTAATTTTGATTCAAACTTTTTCCCTCCTCTCCTTTAAATCTAAATTGGCATTATATTGTTAGGAATTAGCATAAGATTTGCTTGAGAGAACGAATCACACTATGAAGATAGATATACAGGATTTATTAATTCTGGAGTATTCCCTTTCTTTGCATTAATCCTGTATGATTCGTTCTCTGAAGCAAATCTTAAGCTAACTCCTAACAATTAAAAACGAGAACAAGAAACAGTCGAGTGAAAATGGCATTATATTATTTGTGATTTTCTTTTATTCATATTTAATAATAGCATAAAGATTTTGAAGAAATCTAATAAGTCTGTAACTTTTTTGTGAAATTGTGAATAAAGAATGATCATAATGCATAGTGCAAGTCAAAGGAATGAATTTATTGTAGTATCATAG